AAGTCATTCCGCAGTTGATCAGTTGCTTCTTGTTCTGCCCTCAGGTGCCTTGGAGAATAGTTTGACTTCCTCTTCTTTGTGGCAACCCCTGATATTGGAACACTGCTATCATGTCTCCCCTATTCTTCCTTTCTATTAAACTAGACATACCCAGTTCCTGCAACAGTTCTTCATATGTTTTAGTCTCCAGTCCCCTAATCATCTTTGTTGCTCTTCTCTGCACTCTTTTTGGAATCTCAACATCTTTTTTTACATCGTGGTGACCGAAACTAAATGCAGTATTCCAAGTGTGGCCTTCCCAAGGCCTTATAAAGTGGTATTAACACTTCACGTGATCTTGATTCTATCCCTCTGTTTATGCAGCCTAGAACTGTGTTGGCTTTTTTGGCGGCGGCTGCACACGGCTGGCTCATATTTAAATGGTCCAAGATCCCTCTCACAGTTACTACTATTAAGCAAGGTACCACATATATTGTACCTGCGCCTTTTGTTTTTCTTGCCTAAGTGTAGAACCTTACTTTTTTTCACCATTGAATTTCATTTACTTAGAACTTTTTAGAAGAGCATGACGTATCAGGACTTTCCTTCGTTAAACAGGGCATGGGCATGGCCAGCGTGGGACACATCCGGCCTGCGAGTTTGACAGCCCTGTTCTAGAATCAGTTTAACATAGCTTTATTTTTTTAGAGATCACCTTGGCTGCCAGATTGTTTACGAAATGGAAATTTATGCTCTAGTGAGCTTTAGCAGAGCGTGCCAAATGATTTAAAGACCATTGTCTTTTCAGGAAAAGACACAGCTGGCATATCGACCAAAATGGACAAATGATGATTTTGGCCATTGTTTCAGTCTGGGAGACAAAATAATTCTGACTTAAGAAGCTTCTTCAAACTTGGTACCCCTGCTTCATTTGGAAAGGGATTACCAAATTCAGAATATCTAACTCCTTTCTTCAATGGTGAGTCATCATCGCGAGAGCCTCCACTTTGTTTTAAGGCAGAGGTGGAGAATGATGGCCCCTTTATGACAGGAGGACTTCAACTCACAGAATTCCTCAGCCAGAATTCCTCAATGGGAATTGAAGTCCACAAATCATAAAAAGGCCATCGTTCTCCACCTCCGTTTTAAGACGAGTCTTGGTTCCCTTTTTGTCATTATCAACATTATTAATAATTCTCATTAATTAGCAAATCCATAAATCACCTCTTCATTTTTTTCCCATTTTCAGCCAAAATTCCATCTCCCCCCCCTCCCCCAGGCAGTTGGTAAAATCCATTCTGAGAGTCTACACACCTCAGTGGTTCCAGTCTCAGCCATTTCCAGTCCAGCTGATGATGGGGGGGCTACAGTCGAGTTCCTTGTGGGTGTCACTTCACTGGCTGTGAAGCATAAAAAGAGAAGGAGAGAAAGGGATCCAGGATTTAGTTTTCGCTGCCCTCTTAGTACAGCGGTACATATTAAATTCTCTCGCTCAGGGGTGTCAAACTGGATTTCTTTGAGGGCTGGATCAGCCTCAATCTTTTTTATTTATAACAGTTACAAACTTAGTAGCCCACCTCCCTCATTAAGCTTACATTTGATTTTATTTGTAAATTTATTCACCCCTTATTTCGCCATGGGATAGATCTAGGTTCCCTTCTTCTCCTATCAATACTTTTTAGAATAGAATAACAGAGTTGGAAGGGACCTTGGAGGTCTTCTAGTCCAACCCCCTGCTTAGGCAGGGAACCCTAAACCACTTCAGACAAACGGTTGTCCAACATCTTAAAAACTTCCAGTGATGGAGCATTCACAACTTCTGGAGGAAGTTGCTAATTGTTCTAGGTTCGTCTTCATTCTAGGTTGCTTCTCTCCTTGATTAGTTTCCACCCAGGCCGCATGGGATGGCTCAGTGTGTTGCTTCCAGCACACATGCCACAGGTTCGCCACCACGGCCCTATATCATTTCATACAAATGGTTGTCTAGTCTCTTCTTAGAAACTTCCAGTGTTGGAGCATTCACAACTTCTGGAGTCAAGTCATTCCGCAGTTGATCAGTTGCTTTTTGTTCTGCCCTCAGGTGCCTTGGAGAGTAGTCTGACTCCCTCTTCTTTGTGGCAACCCCTGAGATATTGGAACACTGCTATCATGTCTCCCCTAGTCCTTCTTTCTATTAAACTAGACATACCAGAACTGAATGCAGTATTCCAAGTGTGTCCTTCCCAAGGGCTTTTAAATTGGTATTAACACTTCATGTGATCTTGATTCTCTCCCTCTGTTTATGCAGCCTAGAACTGTGTTGG